TCATTAAATTTAGTGAATTTTTATACTGTACCAAGCTCGGTTATCAATTGTTTAAATGATCATAGGGCTCTTAAGGCAGCCAAACTTGCACGAATACATAGATAATGGGTAATCGGCAATAAAGAAGAAATTTCAACCGTTAGGTGAAAATGCAGCAAATATTTACTCACCATGGACCAGAGAAAATCACTCTGCACAACTTTTCTGTTAAAATTCATGTTTGAATTTGAGGAAAAAAACAGTGGAACGTCATGTAATGTTTGAAAAGAAAATATGAAAGCATGCTTGATTTGTTAGTTTAATATAAATCGTCAGTATATCAACTATATTCTAGATGTTGAGCTACGTGAATTATGCAAAGAGGTAAGAAGTCGAACTACATTTCCGGAAACTCATTATTGAAAAAATCAAGACAGTTGTAATTGACGTTGCACTATTGTACCTCGGCCGCGCTCTACACCAATCACCGTGTCCCAGGGCAAAAGAAACAGTGTAAAGCCAGCCCCTTGCGGGAATTAGGTTCTTCGCCTGCATGAACTAATGCTTGATGCTGTCACGAATTTTTGCATACAGGTTCTTCCCGCGAGAAAAATTCAATAGTTATTCCGTTATGTTAATGCGCATGCGAGGTTTTAATTAGTATTAGCAATCGCTTTGCAACGCAAAAGAAGCTATAAAAAGTACTTTCGATCACTAGCCAAATACCAAATACCGCCTTCCACAGAAGGTCCTTGTGTAGCGCTTGTCGCTCCCGCCCTTTTCATTCTCTGATTGGTCGGCTTAGGCTACGGTCAGCCGATTTTTAGGTGAAAGTAGGCGGTGCGGCGGAGGTACCCTTGATAGCTCCAATGAAAGCCTTACTGCAGAAGCGACCGCAAACTAATCACGCAATCGAAGGATGGGAACGCCTTCTTTAGGTTAGAAAAGATGATATAAATAAGGTACGAGTTCAGGTGTAATTGCGAAGCATTTGTCCTTACGATTCATTTTTGGAGTTCATGCAAAGACCCAAGATGTTTCGAATTTTTTTATGGCACAGCATCAAACAAGGTTTGGTTCGTCTGGTTGGATTACAACTTGGTTTCATCCTGTATGAAAACGAGAAGATCCAAAATCTAAGCATACCCCCCGGAATTTGCCCATAGACTTGCCGTTTTCACGCTGAAGCTTTTAAAAAACTTGACAGTAAAGAAACAGCAATTGATAACAGAGTACACATGGTGAATCCAATCACATTGGAACCCTTTTTCTGGCATATTTTAGCCGTAGTCTGCGAAAGTTATTGTGCGAAGCAGCTCTTGTCCTTATGGCGGAACACAAAAATCTCAAAATAAGCAGTCAAAAGCATCGACAGTTAATGCCGAGCTCTATCGAAGGGCCGCGTGCGCTTTCACTATAGATGTCGAGCAACCTATGCAGCATATGTGATTGACAGCTTGCGGCTGGTGCACTATCGTCCATTTTGACCGCCACGTGATCCATCCCTTGTGCAACTAACTTGAATGGAGAGAAGGAGTTCATGTTTTTAAGAGTTATCGAAGAACGCGGAACAATTGTTCTAATAAGAATTTCTTGTAAAAGGATGTATTGATGTCCACGTTCGGACACTTCGATGCTGCAGAAAATCTCTAAGCTATGAAAGAGTGGAAAAAAAGAGAATTCTAATGTAAGCCACTATATTAGATATAAAACCCTCCAGACACCAGTGCTTGAATATCTCAAGCTTATCGAAAATGCGTCAACCATGAAAACAGAATCATAAAAACTTATTTTTTTGTAGAAGACTGACAGGGGACATTACAATGTGCGATTGATTGACTGGCTTAATTTGTGATAAACCGTTAATTAATGTTAGTACTCTTATTT